AACCTTAGTATGTGTAGTTTCATAGGAAAAGAATGCTTGGAAACTAGTAGCAGAGACACTGAAGCCCAAACATGAACTTTGGAATAAAAATTTCTTATCTTTTTGATACTGAAGAAATGATAGTAATAAAAGCTGCTATTTGTTTTTTGTTTTTTTTTTTTTTGCGGTACGTGGGCCTCTCACTGTTGTGGCCTCTCCCGTTGCAGAGCGCAGGCTCAGCGGCCATGGCTCACGGGCCCAGCCGCGCCGCGGCATGTGGGATCTTCCTGGACCGGGGCACGAACCCGTGTCCCCTGCATCGGCAGGCGGACTCTCAACCACTGCGCCACCAGGGAAGCCCCAAAGCTGCTGTTTGTTGAATGTACATTTGGTAGCAGGTACCATGATAAGCAGATTTATTTATCGTTACGGTAACCCTTTGAGGTTGGTGGCATTGTCTCCATTTTCAGAAGAAATGAAGCCTTGGAGAGATTATGTAATTTGTAGAGTTATGTAATTGGTAACAGCTGGCATTGCTATATTTGAATCCAAGTATGTAGGATTCTAAGAAATGTTAGCTCTTAGTCACTTAGTCCCTTCCTAATTTATGTTCATAGTACTCTGTGCCTCTCTCATATATTATAGTATAGTATCACTTTTGTTTATATTTAATATTCTTTTTTCCCTTTTAAGTGTTTAAATTATGTATAGTAACAAATTAGGGAATTCTTTTCTCTTGCATCTTAATTATTTCCTGTAGGGTTTGAGTTATTCACATAAGTAGTTCCTTTCAAGTATTAGGAAGACACTGAAAACACAAAGATGGCAAAAGTTTAGAGCCTCAAAGGGATGAAATTAACTACATATGACTATTTTGCCATCTGTCATGTTTTCCAGTTTAAACATTTTAAACTACTTGAGGCTTTGGTACTTTTTTCTTCATGTCAACTAACTACCAAACACTTTGCTTATTTATATATAGTCTAGTAGAAACAGAACTGGAGCTAGAAAGGGCTAGGAGTTGTCTGCTTCTGTGCTATCATTTCCAGATGGGGAAATCAGAGTAGTTAAGAACTAGTTAGGTTTAGGATTTCTGACTTAGTGTGGTTTGAAATAGGAGTGGAAAATACAGATTTGGAATGTTTATGGCTGGTGCACAGAAATTTTTCCTATACATATATGTAAACTCACTTGTGTCGCTCTAAATAGTTTTATAACTGTTTTAACTCTGTCATTCAGATAAATTCAGTAGTCTCTTGGTATCACCGGGGCATTGGTTCTAGAACCCCAGCGGATACCAAAATCTCCAGATGCTCAAGTCCCATATATAAAATGGCATAGTATCTGTATATAACCTACATATATTCTCCAGTATACTTTAAATCATCTCTAGATTACTTAGAATATCTAAATACAATGTCAGTGCTATGTAAATATGGTTGAACCTTGAACAGCATGGGTTTGAAGAGCATGGGTCCACTTATACTCGGATTTTCGTCAGTAAACGTGTACTGCAGTACTACAGGATCTGCCTTTGGTTGAAGTTGCCCATGTTGAACCGCGAATACAAGGAACCTAGTATAGGGAAAGCCAGCTGTAAGAGGGTCATTGTGTTGTTCAAGGGTCAACTATAGTTGAAACTGCTATGTAAATAGTTGGCCAGCTTGAGGCAAATTCAAGCTTTTCTTTTTGGAATTTTCTGGAATTTTAAAATATTTTCAGTTGAAGCTTGGTTCAGTTCACGGTTGTGGAACATGCAGATATGGAGGACCGACTGTATTTTTAAAATAAATTAAAATGACAAAAAGTATTTTGTGGAACTTAATTTGATACCTTGGAGAAGAGAATTTATGTAGAATTTCTACTATAAAAGCTTTAAAATCTAGGCATTATAGATGGGTTGACTAATTTAAAATCCAGAGCACAAAAATACTGAAAGAAGAAGATAATTAGGAGATGATAAATAAAGAGATGATGGAGAAATGCTTAGAGTAAGGTAGTCCGCTCTAGATATAAAATTTCTAATATTTTATATTGGTGGTTAGTTTTCTAACAGGAAGTAAAGAAACTGAAGGCTAGTAGCTTTTCAAGTAGTTGACAATGATATTTCATTTCTCCAGATCTGAATGGGCAAAGCAGACACGTTAGCATATTGGAAAAAAGCTAGAGGCTCATGTATGATGGTTGAGTTTTCTAGACTTTCCTGTGGCCTCTCTAATCAGTATATTAGCATTTATTTATATTTTTAAGATGTTTATTTTAAAATAGGTTTACATATACATGGTAAAGCATTCAGAAGAGGTTAGTAGTAGTAAAAAGTAAGTCTGCCTTCTCCAACCATTGGTGGTCTTCCCTAGAGCAACCACTATTAACCATTTTCTTGTGTATTCTTCTAAACATCTTTCATGCATATTCAAGCATAAACGTATAGTTACATGTACATTTTCTCATACGTGGCATTACAGATACATCTAGTTTTAAGAGACATTTTACAATATATCTTGCAGATTATTTCATGTTAGAAAATATATAGCTACTTTGTTTTTTTTGATACATGAATAATCTTCTGTTGAATGGACCTGCCACAACTATCTTTTAACTATTTAGGTTTTTACCATGCAGTGATGCAGTGAATGTTCTTGTACTTATGCCACTTCACACATGGATATAGTTTTACAGGATAAATTCTTAGGAGTAAAACTGAGTCAGAAGGAATGTGCATTTTACATTTTAGTAAATATTACTAAATTGCTGTCCATAAAGACTGTACTGATTTATACTCACCAACAATGGAGTAGAGTTTTTATTTCTTCACAACTTTGTCAATACATGGTAATGTCAACCTTTTTGATCTTTGTCATTCTGATAGATAAAAATGGTGTCTCATTATAGTTTTAATTTACATTTCTTTTGAATGATGTGAGTCTCTTTCTTTTTAAAAATCCATTTAAATCCACCCCCCCTTTTTTTCAGAAATGTGGTCATATTCTTTGACTTTTATTCTGTTGGTCTCTTAAAGATTTGTAGAGATGATATATTAAGGAAAAATTTTTTCCTATTTTGTCTTTAAAATTTTTTATGTATGTTTTAAATACTTGTAGTGTTTGAATACATGTAGTCAAGCATACATCTTGGTAAAAGATTACTGCTAATCACAAAGAACAGATATCTCATGTTAATGATTTTAGTGTTTTCCTGTGTATGGGAAGGTGCAAGAATCTGGTCTTCTTACCTACCTAGGAGCCGGTAGATCCAAAGCATAGAATGTTTCATCCTGTTTTTCCCGTCCTGAATTTCCCTCAGGATGTACTGTCAGTGGGCTTCTGCAGTGGGTTGCAACTTAACCTTTTGTGTTACTGGATGATGAGCTACACTCTTCTTTAATGGTTAAAGCAGATGTACAATGTGTGTTTGACAGGCCGTAAGACAGGCTGTTTTAGTTAGCATAAAGTTCAAGCCAAATCATGTATAAGCCAGAATGACTTCCCCATGTCTCAGTATGTGAAAATTTTTTCTATCAGTGGAAAGTTTGTTTGTTTTTAGCATGGTTAGTTAAATTTATTGATATTAGCAACAGTAACAGAGCAGATAATGCAAAACTGTGGCCATCTGAAAAACAATATCAAGGTGGCTTTGAAGTGCATTTCTTTTAAAAGTTACCTTTGAAATGGACAGGTGACTACAATTCCAGGGCTTGAAAAGCACTTCAAAGGAACAGGAACAGGAACAAAGTAATCTCTCTCTCCTTTCCTCCCTTCCCCCACTCCTCCCTCTCTCTCTCCTTTTCTCTCTCTCTCCTGTCAAATGACAAAATTAAAACAGTTTAGTAATGACTTGGATGTCCTTTGTTCAAGGGAAAACAACGCATGGATTGCGGGGGGTCGGGCGGGGGGAGTCACTGCTCACTGGTGGTGAAGCAATCTTCCAAGGGATTTTGGGCAAGAGAGGCTTACAGAATGTTAGAAGAGGCAACTCTGAAGCAGGGTGCGCTTGGCTAGTAGGTTGGGGATTTCCTAATAAGGCGTGCAGGTCCTGTTTTCTAGAGTGAGGTGAAATCTCTAAAGCAGAGTTGGAGGTTTGATTGTTTTTAGGTTTCCTTGACAGGTGTGTCCTGTAGGTGCAGACTGACAGGTTTAGATTTGTGCTGTGGGTGAGGCCACTGGGGTGGCCTCCATTTTGGAGGTCCTGATTAAATGCATTAACTTCATCACTCCACATGTACATGTCTACTCGTAATGTCTGGATTCTGAAATAAAGTGTGAGTGAAGTCAAATAACTTAGACATACCACGGATGTGAGAGTCCTTCGACCCTTCCAGTTATCTGTATGGTAACATTTGTAGAATCCGGGCAGACAGGCCGGAGGGTTGCTGCCAAGTGTATCCACTTCCCTTTCTTCCTCAACTTTCTCGGGTGGAGGTGGATGGAGCCACCTTTCAATCAGGCTTGTGGCCGAGCAGAAGTAACCTCCCTTATCAGAACTGGGAGAGGAGGTCGAGCTTTTGTCAGTGAAGCTCTAACCTTGCCACACATTCCATAGGGAGAAAATATCACAGGAAGGAGGAGCAACTATCCTATCCATCATGAGAAGTTGGTAGGCTCATTTGTTTGCTTGTTTGTTTTTGAAATAGGAATTAGGGGCACTTAAATATGGAGGTAATTGTACTGTAAAATACTTGAGCAAGAGATAGATTGTGTAGTTTTTACTGTCTTTCTCCTTCTCTTCTAGGTCCCCCTTGCAATCATGGATATTTGAAAGGAGCAGACAGTGTGGAGGGGGAACTCCCCTCCTCCTCCCCATGGTGCTTGACTCCAGGAATAATTTATAAACTGTGGAAAGCTTTTTTTTAAATAAAGAACTTGTGTTTGATATAAACTTGATAGGGCTATTTATAATTTTTGGATTTAAGTGCCAAAATAAATTGTACAAATATATATAGTTTTATACTGTTGCCATGAGGATTTAAATTATAATCCTAAACAGGCCATTTATTCTCTATAAATCTTTCTGAATAGCACCTTTGTGTCCTGGCTTTTTCATTTTTTAAAATTATCTGACTGTTCAGAAGAAGTAAGCTACATTAACACAATTAGGATGAATTCTTCCATCCCTGACTGCACAACAAAATGTCGATCCCTGAAGCATGCTTTCGATGTCCTTTCTGTGGTAACCAAGGGGAGTGAAAACCAGATTAAGGCCTTTCTCTCCAGTCATTGTTACAATGCTGCAACTATCAAGGATGCCTTTGGCAGAAATGCCCTCCACCTTGTTTCCTCCTGTGGAAAGAAAGGAGTGTTAGATTGGCTTATTGAGAAAGGAGTGGATCCATTGGTGAAAGACAAGGAGTCAGGATGGACAGCTTTGCATAGAAGCGTTTTTTATGGACATATTGATTGTGTTTGGTCTCTATTGAAGGTAAGTGTCATTTGTTTATTTAAAACTATTTGGTCTGGCATGTGTTTTTCTTAATCTTTTTCATATATTCCACTTACTTTCCAAAAGAGATTTGAGTTCTTATCAGTTGTTTGATATCTTTTACTATTATAACTCATCTTTAGAATTCAAATCTCATATATCCTTTTAATTTAAACCTTTTATGATGTAAAATTTTAAACATATACCAAAGTTTACAATATATCATGAACTGTTGGCCAATTTTGTGTTATGTATGTCTCCACTGACTTTCTCCACCCCATGTTATTTTGAAGTGAATCCCACTTTGTCATTTACTCAGTACTACATATCTTTTAGTATTTTTAAGAAATACAGTTTCCTTTTGTATTAGTATGTTATTATCTATTTTAAAAGGGCACTGGTTATTGAAATCACTTAGGGACTATGTTTTGAGTAGTGTGTTTATTTCTTGTTTGGCTAGGATAAAGTTTTTATAGTTCTTTTAAAAAAAATTAGAATCAGGGCTTCCCTGGTGGCACAGTGGTTAAGAATCTGCCTGCCAATGCAGGGGACACGGGTTTGAGCCCTGGTCCGGGAAGATCCCACATGCTGTGGAGCAACTAGGCCCATGTGCCACAACTACTGAAGCCTGTGCGCCTAGAGCCCACGTGCCACGACTACTGAAGCCCACACACCTAGAGCCCGTGCTCCGCGACAAGAGAAGCCACCGCAGTGAGAAGCCAGCGCACCACAACGAAGAGTAGCCCCTGCTAGCTGCAACTAGAGAATGCCCGCGCGCAGCAACGAAGACCCAACGCAGCCAAAAATAAAATAAATAAAATAAATTTATTAAAAAAAAATCTACCTCTAAAAAAAATAATTAGCATCAGTTTATTTTAAATTTCCCATCAAGCAGATTAAATCTAGGTTTGTTGTACTGTTTAGCCAAATAATATGAAGTGTTTTGATATATACCCCATGGATGTCATTTCACTAATGAATGCAAATTAAAAACTGTTAGAAGTCATGAGTTTTAAATTGAACAATTAGCTTGTGTATAGGCATTTAGTCATGTTTGTGGAGGACCAGAGGAGAACAAAGCAGTTCCTGTCCTCAAGGCACTTGTGGTCACATTAGGGCATTAGGGTGCTTATCTTCAGTGTCTTTATCTTTGGTGTCTGTTTTTTGTTTTTGTTTTAAATTTTATTTATTGGTTGGTTGATTGATTGATTGGCTGCATTGGGTGCTCGGGCTTTCTCTAGTTGCGGTGAGCGGGCTTCCTCATTGCGGTGGCTTCTCTTGTTGTGGATCACGGGCTCTAGGTGTGTGGGCTTCAGTAGTTGTGGCTCACAGGCTCTAGAGTGCAGGCTCAGTAGCTGTGGCGCACGGGCCTAGTTCCTCCGTGGCATGTGAGATCTTTCCGGGCCAGGGCTCGAACCCGTGTCCCCTGCATTGGCAGGCAGATTCTTAACCACTGTGCCACCAGGGAAGTCCTGGTGTCTGTTTTTGACTTCAGAAAAATTGTTTACATAGTGGTCTTTAGGTGGTAACATTTACTGATCAGAATAATTTTCAGTATGTGTTAATAGCAAAATATCCTTTTTTGGAGCTAAACTATCTAGGTTTACTACTTACTGAGTCCTCTTGGATGAGTTACTAAATCTTGAACCTCAGTTTCATCTATAAAAAGAGGATAATAGTGGTACCTTCCTTATTTTTTTCCCCCCAGGGAGTTTCAGTGAAGAAAAACTTTTCTTAAGTTTATTAATAGTACTGTTACTTCCTCTTATATCTAAAACCTTTGGGTATCAGTTTAATTCCCTTATTGTAAAATCTCTTTTATAGGAAAAGCTAGGTTAGTAAGAGTTAAAGCATCTATCAGCTCTACTTCTACCCTTTCCCACCAGTTTCTGCTGGAAAATTGGATGACTGCCAATCCTTTCAAGCTTGACAGTGTCCTTGGATTTTCTGCAGTCCGAGGGGTTGCCATTCCAGTCCTAGGGGTTGCCATTCCGGTGTTAGGATTTGGGGCTTCAGTTTGAAATAGGTTCTGGTCTGAATTTTGGACCTTCCCTCCCTTTGGGTTTCATTTCCCTTTAGAAATCCTCAGTCATCCTCGCCACCTCGGCTAGGAGAAGCCAGGAAATTGTGCCTTGGGCCACCTTGCTCTTGGCTTGACTGTCTTATCATCAGAGTCCTTCTGAGCCATGATAGACACTTAACGTGAATGCTTCCCGCTGATAAAAATATTCCCACAGAAACCTCTTTCATCCATTTAGTATTCGCATGTTGCTGTAAGCCATCTGCATTTTTTTAGCACAGACTTCTTTCCCCTTTTAACACTCCTTTAATTGGAAGGGCTGCAATGATAGGGGTGTTCATGTCAGTTCCACTTCTGGTGATAGCGCTGTAGCATTTAAGGTGTTACGGACTAGCAAGAAGAGACTATACAGAAAAACACATTTTAAATGAATTACATTTGATAAAAACTTTATAGGTATGAAATTTTAAAATTAAGTGCTAAAATTGTACAATAAGTAAACACCCATGCTATCAGTTCCTGATTGTCAAAGATGAAAAACCTCAGCAGAAACTTCTTGTCTACCAAAAGCCAGAGTAGAAACAGCATATCTTATGCAGCTTTTCACTACCTTCTTGATTCCGTGACAGGAGGCATGTTTATGTTTGTAGGGTCCTGCTGTGTCTGTTACCTCTATACCATTTTTCTTTAATATTGGTGGTTTACTTGTATTTCTAACCTGGTAGAACTTGCTTTAGTTTTTCCCATTTGTAAATGGAAGAACTCACTGAATCATGAGATTGTGTGGATTAAGTGATAATACTGTTTGTAAAGTATTTGGAATACATTTTTTTTTTAGTGCCTAATGTGTATTAGGCAACGATCTAAGTGGTAGGAATATTGTAATGGGAAAAAAAAAGACAGAATCCTTTGCTTGTTTGTTGGTTTGTTTTTTGGTTATACTTAGATGCTATTTAATAAGGTAATGAATTTACCTACTATTTTGGGGATATGTAAAGAGTTGATCTTTTAATAAATGGGATAGACTAGACTACACACGGATGCTCCTACCTTTAGAGTTTAAGGTGAGCATATTAGAAAGTGTCAGAGACCACCATATGTAGGGAGCTGTAAAGGCAAAAAAAGTGTTGCTAGTCCTTTATGCAGTTGGGGCTGCTTAGGATGATGCAACTGTATGTAGTCTTATTAGGGTCCAGTTGGTATATATATAATAAAGTTTAGGACAAATTTATAAAACTGATAAAGTAAACTCTCCAGGGATCTAAGTTTCTGGGATCCTATTTGTCAGATTCGTAGCTTGGAACACTCTGCCCTGGAATCTACCCTTCTTACCCTTACGAAAGCCAAGCTCAGGTCTTCCCACATGGATTTATTATATCTAACTTTGAAAGTAGCAGGCAACATACACTTTTAAATTTGTTAGGATCTTAGATCACTCCTGAATTTTGTTTTATTTGTTAGCTCACTAACGGGTATTTTTGTTCATTGACAACCCTTGTGAAATCAAGTGTTATAGCCATCTGGAACCATCTTGATTTTAATTTATTAAAATCCATTGTTACGAGGTAAGAGGAGATTCTCTTTCTTAAGTAAACCCAAAAAGAGTATTCCAACATGTTGTGATTAGAGTTTAAAAACTTCATGGTTCATCTCAACCTGTAACTGCCCAGGTAAACTGTGTGTGTAGATGGATAGGCAGTGATCACTCACACGAGTTAAAATTACTGTTGAATGCCTTATTAAACTATCAGCAAATATTAAAAGTTATTTATGAAAAGGAGTACATTTTGTGTTTAAAAAACTGTATGTAGTAATAATAATATGAATTGAACATTGCTCTATTTCTCCCCTCCTCCAGTTATATTTTAAAAACAGTAAATAATGGTGCTAGGGATAGGGTGTGCTAACTGCCTTAAATAAATGGGACTGAAAATGTTGTGTTTCATGTTTGAATTCTGGAGATATAAAACTACAGATTACTTTAAATTCATTCTTAAAACACACACACATGTGCAGTCTCAGGGTTTTTTTTTTCTTGATACAATCTAACTGTAAGTGGTAAGAGACAATGCTCTGAAAATTTAAGTAGAAAATTTTAAGTGGAAAAATACATATCACACAAGTAGAAATAAAAGAATATAATTATCTTCATGTCAGTAATAGACATAATGGAATTCAAGGCAAAAAGGTGGAGCATAGGTAATCACATTATATACAGTAAATCCTAAAAAACATATATATAAAAAGTAAGAAGTATTCTTTGCCATTGTGTAGAAATCTTTACAGCCCTTAGCTGGATGTGGAGTTTGGCTCTTTAAATACGAAAAAAAAAGCATGTGTGTGTACATACACACATAGACCCAGACCGAAAGTTAGGGCCTTCTCAGTAACTGACCTGCCTTACCATGGAAAACTTTCATATCTATTTCATTTTGATTTGTTTTTCATTTTGATTTTAAATGTTATTTTATTTGTTCACATTTTCTGGTTCTTCTTTATTTCCCCAAGAATTGGATATTCGATTTCTCTTAGTTTTCTTTTATGTGAGAAATAAATGTGTATGAGCATAGGAGATAATTGTTATTAAATGTTTATTTTTAATGTATTTATGGGTTTGATCATTGACTTTTTGATAAATTACTGATTATAGGTAAATGATTAAAATACATACATATATATGTGTATATACACACACATATTTTTCCCTTTTTTTTTTTTTAGCGTGGTGTTAGTCTGTATATTCAAGATAAAGAAGGCTTGTCAGCTTTGGATCTTGTAATGAAGGATAGACCAGCTCATGTAGTATTCAGAAATACCGGTAAGAAAATTCCACAAATATATTCCATTAAGGTACAGCTTAGAAAATTTTAATGAAATTTTATTGTTATAGAAATACCTGAGAAAATCTGTGTGGATATCTGCAAAGAACTTTTACTCTGGTATATGTTGGTTGATAACTTTGGTTTTCTTTCAGAGCACTTTGGTTTATTTTACATTTTTCAGATTCAGTGTTCATTTCTGTGTATAAGAGTAAAAATACAGCCTAAAAAGGGAAGGCAGCTAGAATTGTAGCTACTGTAAAGCCATTGATGTGCATTCAGAAAGTAACAGCATTTGAGCTAGGGGGGAAAGGAAGTGATTCTTCTACCCACATGTTCCTTCTTCTCATTGCACTTATCTCCAATTTTTTTGCCCTGTGAGCTCTGGTAATGGAAATTGACTGAAAAGGAGGAGAGATTTAAATGGGTCACTAGTTAATTTGCATTTTAACTACTGAGCAAGCTAAGTAAGGACATGTTCTTCATTTTTATTTCTATCTTGGACACTATATTGCAAGTTACAGTTATAATTCCATTCAAAAACTTTGTAAGCCTTCCAAAGTAAAAATGAAGATTTATATCATAATTAGCTGTGATTAAGTTTTATCCCAGTTTAATGGATATTGGCCCAACCTCTAGTGTGATTTTGCGTCTATCAAGAGCAAACTATTGGAAGATGATGTTTCTCTAGAAATAGGAACTAATATCATGTATGCTTCATTTAGAACCTTTATATATTAAATGTTTTAATAACATTTTACATTTAAATAATTAAATGTATTATTTTCATGGAAACTAGGTGGATATGGCGGGTGGTATTTTAATCATTTGGCAGTTAAACTTTAACTTCTAAAGAAACAAGGGTAAAGTGTTAGATTGCTTACATTGGGACAGGCCTGTGCTGAATTGGATTTTCTGATTTCTATTCTTAGAGTTATATAGTAAATTATTAGATTCATAATTTAAAAGAGAGGGTTGGTAGTATCTTTCTAAATATGGTAATTAAATTAGTTTTTGTGAAGAATCATCTTTGAGGTAAACTGATTAGTGGAGTATATCTATAATTAAACTATACTGATACTTGTTTAAAATGTAAAAGAGTATAAAAACTAATTTTCATTTTAGATCCTACAGATGTCTACACTTGGGGAGATAATACAAATTTCACCCTGGGTCATGGAAGCCAGAATAGCAAACATCATCCCGAGTTGGTGGATCTGTTCTCTAGGAGTGGGGTTTATATCAAGCAGGTATATTGAAATACAATCTGAGTACTTACAGAGATTAAAAAGAACTTTTGTATTTGATAGCTTATCTTTTCATTTGGATTATGTTAACTTTGGTGAAGGTGCAGTAACATACTTGAATGAAGAAATTGATCAACAGAACTTTACTAATTCTTTTTAGATTTTGTTAGTCTTAATCATATTTAGACTATGTAAAATATCATAAAACTGTGAGATGTTTGTGTAAGGCATGTTAGAAGTTAGAAGGCATTGTACAGATATTAATTTTAAAAAGGTAGAGCTTGTGTTGATTTTCTAGTTTTTCTTTCTACTTAATGAATTAGAGTTCTTCAAATTGTTTCTCAAGTGAATTTTTTGTTGATACTCAAATGAAGTTTGTTATTAGTTTTAGGTAAGTGAACCTGAGTTCTTAAATATAAGTAATTGTAAAATTTTAATTGATAATTGTAAAGGTTTGGTCTTTGGTGGCCTTATATCATTATTCTGGATGATTCCACTTCAGTGGATTTTGCTACTGTTGGCATACTCATCTTTCTCTGTAACTCTTTGTGTGTGTGTGTGTGTGTGTGTGTGTGTGTGTGTGTGTGTGTGTGTGTAATTTATGTCTCTAGCCTCAGCCTTTCTTCCTCTTGAGTTTCATTTCAGTTGTACTCTGGACATTCTTTCAAAGTTTTTAAATTTAACTGTCTGAAGTGCTAATTTTGCCACTCCTAAATTTTCTCTACTTAATTTTTAAAGCTATAAATCTCAATTTCTGAATCCTGAAAATTACACCTCAGAATATGTCTTTTGAGTTCATCTCTGATTTTTTTTCCCTGATGTAATAGTTAATGTCATTCCCCTTTTATTCCCCCAAATATTTGGATTATATATTATATGGCCACCATATTTAGGGTTCTGTAGAACACTGTTTTTCACACCAAAAGTCATTAATTATTGTATCACAATTAGCAGTTTAAAAAAAATGAAATAGAAGAGTTAAACTCAAGAGAATATTAAAATTTGAGAGGCCAGGAACAGGAGCCCACATGGGAATGAAGAGCGACTAGAGACGTAGAGAGTAGAGTAGTGTCCTGAAAGCTAGGATTCTGACTGGCCATCTACATAGACCTCGAGGGAACTTAGGATATTGAAAGGACTTGGGATAGACCAGAGTCATAAGCCTGGGGTGAGAGTCTCTAGTGAGGGTGAGGAAAGCTGTTAGAGCAGGGCTGGCTGCTCTTCCTCACCTAGGTCAGAGCCTTAGGTAGACATCGCTAATCAGTCACAGCATACTCTCGTTCTCCCTTCGTCCCTCCCTCCCTCCCTGTTCTCTCCCCTCTCTGTTTTAAACTGAACTTGAACAGGTCCTCAGAATTCACCCATCAACAGCCACTAATGATTGATCAGAGTTGAGGCACTTAGAAAGATACCTGTTTTCCTTTTCTGACTTAGTACATGATATAGTCAGATTTCATGGCGTGAGATTTTTCAGGAGCAGAGATTTTTACACAAAAGTGAAGGAATAATGGTGACATTAGGAAACGGGCTGATTGTACCTTCTGATCCTATGATATATGTGCTGTAGAAGAATTGCGCATATTCCATTTGGTAGGGTTAAGGATGAAACAGTATACCCAAAGAGAAAACTACATTTCAGTTAAGGCAAGGATGTGAGAGTATTTTGTGAAGAAATTAAGGATGTAAGGGAATTTTTTTTTTTTAACTACGAAAAGGAGGATTGAAACACAAGCACAGTGGATAGGTTTGAGAGGAAGGAAAGCAGTGTAAATTTCAGTAAAAAAAATGGTAGCAAGTTAATGGGAATATTTACTGAGCACCTGTTACATTGAGAGCCCTATTACTCACTGAAAAAGGGCTGATTCTGTAGTATAGTACCAGATGAATTAACTGCCATGGGACAGAGATGATTATTATTAGCATAATATATTCCTCAGAATTAGGATGAAAATCCATGTCAGTTACCTCCTTAAAAAATTCAGAGGTTTTAAAGTTGGAGGTCTTACACTCTGGTATTGGTTGTTTTGTAGAAGTCAGAGATTATAGAACGGCATTCTAATATTGAATATAGAATTGAACAAAATGTATTACTTCTGGTTTCATGAAATAATTTTTCCCTTAGAGATTGTAACTTTGTATTACACATTTGAATACAATTTTGGGTTTTATTTTTAGACTTTTCAGGTATTTGTGGTACATCTAATAAATAGTGATTTTTGCATTATCATAGGCATATGTATTTACAGAACTCGCCAAGTGGTTGAGGGATATGTGTAAACAGAGCTTGCAATTCAGCTTGTAACTTTTTTTTTTTTGGCTGCTTTGGGTCTTTGTTGCTGCCCACGGGCTTTCTCTAGTTACTGTGAACAGGGGCTACTCTTCACTGCGGTGCTCGGGCTTCTCATTGCGGTGGCTTCTCTTGTTGCGGAGCACAGGTTCTAGGCGTGCGGGCTTCAGTAGTTGTGGTGTGCAGGCTCAGTAGTTGTGGTGCACGGGCTTAGTTGCTCTGTGGGATCTTCCTGGACCAGAGCTTGAACCCGTGTCCCTTGCATTGGCAGGCAGATTCTTAACCTGCGCCACCAGGGAAGTCCATGATTTGTTATTTTTCCAAAGAACCCTGACTTTATGGAAAATAATTCTAGGATTTTTAATTTCTTAATCCTTTTTTTAAATATCCTAAGTTAGAAATATTTATGGGTGGCATAAGAGATGTAAATGCAGATTATTTTTAAAAATAAAAAAGGATTTTTAGATAGTATTAAGGTAAAATAAGTATACTGATGCATTGAAAAATAGCAAAGTGTGGCCTGCAGGTTATGTATGTAAGTGCATGGATATTTAAAACTGCTGTTGGTTTCCTATTATTGCCTTCTGCTGATGCAGTTCAGCCGTTTTAGTAACCCTGTTTTCTGGTAAGAATGTATGAAAATGGAACTGTTTGTCAGAGGGCAAGGAGGGTTCTGGGAAGGAAGTGGGGAAAAGAAAAGAGCTTGAAAATTAGTGTAAAATTATTTAAAGCCATGTACTTGTATTAAAGATATATTAGACAAAATCAGAGGTACAAAAATCACATACTGTTTACCGCCCCCACCCCACTCCCTGTTTATAAGGTGATGTTGAAAAAATACTCTTAAGGCACTTTTACTATTTTCTTTAGTAATAGTCACTATTTGGTAATTTTATGTTTCATATTTTACTCTGTTCAATTCTTGCTGTTTGAGATTTTATGAAATTGGAAAACAACTGACTACTACTTTTTGTAGTTGAATACTTAAGATTTGCATTCTCCTTTGTTTAGTCTCTTGTGGGTAACACATGCTTAATTCCTTCTAAATTTTTCTTCCCCGAATGTCAGTGTTTTTATTTTTTTATTTTATTTTATTTTATTTTTTTGCGGTACGCGGGCCTCTCAGTGTTGTGGCCTCTCCCGTTGTGGAGCACAGGCTCCAGACGCGCAGGCTCGGCGGCCATGGCTCACGGGCCCAGCCGCTCCGCGGCATGTGGGATCTTCCCGGACCGGGGCACGAACTCGTGTCCCCTGCATCGGCAGGCGGACTCTCAACCACTGCGCCACCAGGGAAGCCCGAATGTCAGTGTTTTTAGACATAGTTTTAAAATAGACCACCATATATTATAAATTTTTATTACAGAAAACTTTAAACATGTACAAAGTAGAGAGAACAGTATAATGAATCCTAATGTACCCATTATCTAGCTTAAACAATTAGTAATATTCTGTTATTTCTTTTTTATAAAATAAAGGATGTTTTATTCACAGAAGTTTAATAATATTCTCTTGTTTTCCTGTAGGTGGTGCTTTGTAAATTTCACTCAGTGTTTCTGTCTCAGAAAGGGCAAGTTTATACCTGTGGTCATGGTCCTGGAGGACGATTAGGCCATGGAGATGAACAGACATGCTTGGTAATTGAAATGTCATTGTACAGTTTAGGTAACTTTGGTAAAATTGTATAAACTGGAAACTTCAGTTAACTAAAAAAATTTTTTTAACCAACTATAAGGAGAAAATAATATACTGACTTATAATAGAGTTTACAAAATCAGTTACTTTCTTGGTGTATTGTGTTCAAAATAAGGATTTAGATATGATGCAAAATTCTAAAGCATCAAAGAAAAATTATATTGTATAGCAAACATTGAGTCAGGAGAGTACATAAATAAGCTTTAAAATATTTCCATAGTTGAAATTTAAAATTTCAGACTAATTGTAAAACTCTTTTCCTGTAGTCCAGGGTCCAAGTTTTTATTCATTTTTAACTTCTCATTAAGGTATTTGTGGTCTGAAACTTGGACCAATATTTTCACTGTGTAATCACAAAATTGACTCTTACGCTACTGAAACTTAGTGCTAATTGGAAGAAACCTAATAATTATTACATTCAGGAAAGTTATTTCCTCACTAGGTTACTTTTAAGGTAAGTTTTTTTTGAGGGGACTGCTGGCATCTTCATCAGTTAAGAGGTCTTTAAAAATGAGAGAGAGCTATGGTAGTCTGTTCCATTTTTTCGAGGGTATATTTTGTTCTAGCCATTGTTCATGCTTTCCATGCAATATCATTACCTTGATTTAAGCCTAAGAACAGCCCTGTGAGGTTATAGGCCTTATTATCCTCATTTTATACACAATGACAATAACAATAGCACTCATTTATCAGTTGTTTACTCTGAGCCAGAGAGTGTTGTGTTTGGTACTTACTAACTCATTTACTCCTTATGCTGATTTTTTATCATCCAAAATACTATTACTATTTTGTGTTCAGATGAAGAAAATGAGAGAAGATAAGAGGTTTGTTTGAGATCAAATAGCTGGTAAATGACAGAATTAAGATTTGAACCCAGAACAGATGACTTTAAAGGAATATGGTATCGTATGTTTGGTTATGCATTGAAGGGCTGCATTGATTCCTGTATTCTTATTTATTTCTTCACTACACCAATGAATACTTTGGCTGAAGAACTCCCTTTATTCAAACCAGACACATTTGCACTTGGTGTATGATAAATGATAAGGGCTCAGAAATCATTTATTGAATCAAATTGTTTTATTGAAATGTCTCACTGGGATTTTGTATTTTACTTATAAAGCAATGTCCATTAAACTTATCTCCCCCTTGCTGAATTGTACAGTTTGCCTATTGATAGATACAGCCGTATAGCAGTCGTATCATTTGGGATGTCGTATCATAAGATTCTATTTGTATTTTGTACTTTATATAAATGGTTAATGTAATATACTAAAGTTAATTTTATTTTGTAGGTCCCTAGGCTTGTGGAAGGACTGAGTGGTCATAATTGTTCTCAAGTGGCAGCTGCTAAGGATCATACTGTTGTATTAACTGAAGATGGATGTGTTTATACGTTTGGTCTAAATATTTTTCATCAATTAGGAATCATTCCTCCACCTTCCAGTTGTAATGTACCTAGACAGGTAAACTTATCTTTTTAATTTTTATTTTATTTTATTTTTTTATTTTTTTATTTTTTTGCGGTACGTGGGCCTCTCACTGTTGTGGCCTCTCCCGTTGCGGAGCATGGGCTCCGGACGCGCAGGCTCAGCGGCCATGGCTCACGGGCCCAGCCGCTGCGCGGCATGTGGGATCTTCCTGGACCGGGGCACGAACCCATGTCCCCTGCGTCGGCAGGCGGACTCTCAACCACTGCACCACCAGGGAAGCCTAAACTTCTCTTTTTTAAATAATAAGGTGACCATTGGTGTAAAACCTATAGGACAAAAAAATTGAAGGCATTGACAGAGCAACTTATTTTACTTGTATTCAACAGTGTATTTCTTCAGTGGTATATATTTTATTTTTCACAGGAGAAATTAAGCATAGTAATGTACAGATTAACATTTGTTTGGAGTGAGAAAGAAAGCACTTGGGAAATTATGCAGCAAACTGCCTTAGATTCAACTTGTAAGTGTTCATAAGCATCGGGGAATCCAGATATATTGGGTTTGAAACTTAAATAATTTTGAGGCCCTCCTTAAGAAAAAAATAGAAATTTTATAAGTAAAAAATGGGCCATGTAAATGAGGCATCCAGAAACTTAAGCTTATTGGCTTCATGGTAGATCTGTCTCTGCGCAGAAATCATACCTGGCAAGTTTATGTGAGGGAACATAGGTCTAAAAGCAACTGTTTTTGTTCTGTTTTCCCTTTCCCATTTGTACAACCACCACCAGAGGGTGGCCTTTCCTCAACTTCAGGGACCTAGTATGCAGGACAGGACTGGTGCTTTAAATTAATATGTTAGGGCTTCCCTGGTGGCGCAGTGGTTGAGAGTCCGCCTGCCGATTCAGGGGACACGGGTTCGTGCCCCGGTCCGGGAGGATCCCACATGCCGCGGAGCGGCTGGGCCCGTGAGCCATGGCCGCTGAGCCTGCGCGTCCGGAGCCTGTGCTCCGCAATGGGAGAGGCCACAACAGTGAGAGGCCCGCGTACCTCAAAAAAAAAAAAAAAAAAAAAATTAATATGTTAATAGAATCATCACATATAGCAAATGTGTGTTCAACGCATAAGATTTTGCATTTTGGGTGTTAGACTTTTTCACTGGTTTAATCCTCCGGATTTAAAATGATTATTAGATATACATTTTTAGTAATAAGCTTTAAAATCCATGCTTTTCCATCCTGGATGGCTAATGAATCAACAGGAATTACTCCAAAATAATTAGAGGTAGTTTGCAATCTGTGGTACTTCTTAGGCCCATTTTCCCCAACCAACTGTGGAATTTGTAGATATTTAATCATTTTGCAGACTTTAGAAATGGTAGATTTTACTCCCATTTTTATTCTCATTGTGTGGCTACCGTGGAGCTCTGGGTTGATATGGACATAGCCAGTATTAAGTGCGGACAGTTTTGTACCCATTTGGCAATGTCTAGAAACATTTTTAGTTGTCACAGCTGGGTGTAGGGGTGGGAGTAGTGCTACCGACATCTAGTGGGCAGAGTCCAGGGATGCTGCTAAACCTCCTACGATGCACAACACAATCCCCACAACAAAGAATGATCTGGTTCAAACTGTCAGTAGTGTCACTGTTGAGATACTCTGGATATGTCAAATTTAAAAGTATCATAGTTTTTAATAAGAATGAGAATGCCTGTTTTGCATATTGCTTGTTAACAAAAGTTTAATGATTTGGTTTTTATACTGTCAGTTTTTTTTTTTTTACATGTTTAAACTGCTGACTTAAGGTGGCTGCATCAAGATGTCTTGTATTCTGAGAAGAGTTGGGGTGTCAGTATTAGGCTGAGATCTATTAGTGATGAATGCCATTGGCACTTGAGGCGGGTACTGGCAGCAAATATGCCATATATTTGCTACCCTGTCTACTGGATCTTGTGCAAAATTCTGTTAGTTCATAGGTACATAATAAACTGAAGTCTTGTTTGTCTTTTGAATAGATGCAAGCAAAATATCTGAAAGGGAGGACAGTCACCGGAGTAGCAGCAGGCAGGTTTCATACAGTGCTATGGACTAGAGAAGCTGTTTACACCATGGGACTAAATGGTGGACAGCTGGGTAAGAAATCCATGATGACAATATCTGAAAAACAAATTGTATTCTTAAAACGGATATTTTGTGATTTGTTTATTTGTGTAATTTTTTAGGTTATTTACTAGATCCCAATGGAGAAAAGTGTGTAACTGCCCCTCGTCAAGTCTCTGCCCTTCATCATAAGGACACCACTGTGTCTTTGGTTGCTGCTAGTGATGGGGCAACTGTCTGTGTTACCACAAAGGGAGATATTTACTTACTTGCAGACTATCAGTGCAAGAAGATGGCTTCTAAGTATGTGTATTTTTGTGAAAGAGACATACTTTAATAATAATTCAGCTCTTCCAGCAAATATCTGAGTATCAGCTTTATGCATTCTCTGAAATGTCAAATGGAGAAAATTGAACGGTTGGGAAAGTCAGGAGTTTTTGCCTTTGATAATCTTAGTCTTTTGGCAAACATCCAGTAAATATATATAAAAGTTCTTTGTAGGTTGTAAAATAGTATTTCTGAATTATGATAACATATGGTTAAATATGACCTATAAGTTTCCCTTTTTTTATGCTTCAGGTGCACAGAAGTAGATGAATCATAATTCTTGGTTTGTGACACTATCATCATTGGTTCACGTGTAGCCTTTTATATATTATACACTTATTTATTTAAAAAAAATCATATTCTGTGGACCCTCTACTCAGTCCTTGTATTTATACCTAAGTGGTATATTTTCTTATCTTTGTATCTGTATAGCCAGTTGTTATCTGTTTTAGTAACATGCAGTGCAGTAAACAAGCAGTTGGCTGTCTAACCAAAGTCAGTTAAAGCAGGGAATTATAAAACTAAGATGGGTCTACCAACTGGAGTTCTCTGTCTTTCGTAATACTTATAATGTGTTACCTGTTACTTCATTTTGAATGATTTAAGGAGCAAGTGCTTAAAAACAAGTGTGAAGTAAGTTAAGGGCAGAATCCTATATTTTTTATACATTTTCAGTATTTTATTTAGTTGGTTAATCCATATCTGATTTGACAGCCGTTTTTTTTTTTTTTTTTTTTTTTGCGGTACGCGGGCCTCTCACTGTTGTGGCCTCTCCCGTTGCGGAGCACAGGCTCTGGACGCGCAGGCTCAGCAGCCATGGCTTACGGGCCCAGCCGCTCCGTGGCATGTGGGATCTTCCCGGACCGGGGCACGAACCTGTGTCCCCTGCATCAGCAGGCGGACTCTCAACCACTGCGCCACCAAGGAAGCCCAACAGCCATTTTTTGCTTGTCATATTTATTGTGTCGTTTTAAAGTATTCAGCTTTTATAGACAGTGTTCCTTTCAGACTAATATTTCATTGGTTTACGTAATATTTCATTGTATTATAACTGTAGTAATAGATACAAATAGAGAAATAGATCTTTGAGCAGGTACAATAGCTCAGTTAGTAGAAGCAGGAGTGTGTAGGAATTCTAGAGAGTAGCTATCCAACTTTTAAAGTAATCAGGGATTTGAATCGAAATGCAACAGAATGTGCTTTTGCTAATGTCAGTGAAATGGTAACTTCATGAACAGATACCAACTATGAGGTTAGCTCATGAGCAGATGTCAACCATCAATATATACAACTTATCTTCTGTGTGTAACAACTGGAAGGTTATCAATTGTAGGTCATATTTCAGTTATAAAAACATGAAAATGTGAACATACATGTTTCTTAGAACTGACTATGTAGGTTTCTTTCTGAGCATGAGATGATTTGTGAAATGTTAGGTTTTGTTTTTACTTTACATTTATAAAATCTGCCCTGATAACATTAAATTACATAAATATAAGTTACATCCAAGTTTTCACTAAGAAAATTCTTCTGTTACAGCTGGTTACAACATAGTAATTTTGAGAAGAAAAACATTAAACAAACAAAAAAACATTTTAAAACGTGGGTAAAATGTCTGAAAGGGAGGATAATCATTGGAGTAATAGCAGGCAGGTTTCACACAATGCTATAGGCACATCACATGTGTAGATGTAATGAAATGTATAATGAATTAGTTAGTGGATGAGTTATTAAATTATCAATACTAATGATTTTTATGGTAGGTGTATCTATTTAAAGTTGTCCATATTTGAAATTAAGGATTTCTGTTTTGATTTGAGGTTTAAATTTTTTCTGTTAAAGTGCAGATGTAGTTAGGATCTTTTAGCCTGTCAGTTATTTAATCTAGAGAGAATGTGTGTACATGAGCAAGTGAGGTTTTAGATATTTAATGTGTGTATCTGGGTAGGTAGAGACTTTTGGGGAGGGAAGGACTTGCCATAGAAAGAAATGGTCATTGTGTAGGGGAAACTCATAAAAGGAGGAACTAAGGATACCAAAGGTCAAATCATCTTACTCCACCTTTTACAGTAATCACCCTCAATTAATGTTTGAATAGTAATTTCTTTAAAATTGATTGTATGTTTTAAGGAACATGTTAATCTAGATTTTTTTTTTTCACCCAGACAACTAAATGTGAAAAAGGTTCTTGTATCTGGGGGGCATATGGAATACAAAGTTGATCCTGAACATTTGAAAGAAAATGGGGGTGAAAAAATTTGCATTCTTGCAATGGATGGAGCTGGAAGGGTGAGTATATATATATATACAAAAGCATAGTAATCTTGTTCTCAGTTGATAGCTGTAGGAGACCTGATAATGTAAAACTGTATTGCTATGATAGTTTCTTTTTTTTCCCTTTTTTTTTTTTTTTTTTTTTTTTTTTTTTTGCGGAACGCGGGCCTCTCACCGTTGTGGCCTCGCCCGTTGCGGAGCACAGGCTCCGGATGCGCAGGCTCAGCGGCCATGGCTCACGGGCCTAGCTGCTCCGTGGCATGTGGGATCCTCCCGGACCGGGGTACGAACCCGTGTCCCCTGCATCGGCATGTGGACCCCTGCGCCACCAGGGAAGCCCTCCCTACATGTTTTTGATGTCCAGTACTAATTATTGAGAGTTGGGAGCTGGTATTTCAAAGAAAGTATGATGACATTTAACTGATGTTGCATAGTACTGCCTTGTTAAACTGTCATTTAAAGTTTCATTTATTGTGCTTAAAATGGAAGTTAGGGGTTTTTTTGATAGCTTATTTGATATATACACTGAGTACTGAAAAGTGGTTTTGAATTGCATAGATATGAGATATATAACTATTCTTAAAAAATAAAAAGCTAAGCTGGCAATATTAAAAATACATAATTGGAAATTTTCTCTCAAATTTGGTTTTAAACAAATGTACACATAATATATATGCAGAGATCATAACTGGCATATAGAAAATGTAATGTATTTCTAGATCACTATATAAAGAATCTCTGGGACTTCCCTGGCGGTCCAGGGGTTAAAACTCCACACTCCCAGTGCAGGGGACACAGGTTCAATCCCTGGTCAGGAAACTAAGATTCCGCATGCTGCACGGTGCAGCCAAAAAAAAAAAAAGGCTCTCTTAACCTCTTTTCATTTAAGTAAATAGAGTTCTAATTTTTATTCCTCTGATAAAATTGTCAATTAAAAAATATGTATTATACATTAGAAACTGAAAAAATTTTACACTGTGACTGGAAAAACACAGATTGCTTTCTGCTTTTTGTTTATAAAATAAAAACATGCAAGTGTTTTCTGAGGTTTTATAAAGTGCTATACAAATTGACATTTTAGAAATTGAAGAATTAATCATAAAGCTCCACCTGCTGGTACATTACAGGCATAAATCTACTGTGGTTGATCATTTTATTTGAGGGAACTATATTTAAGAATTAGAGCTCTAATTTGTACTAAAAGCAGGAAGCAGAGGTGTGGAATTTCATTTAAAAGGTTGAATATAAAAACATTTGACTTTGGGATTTATTTCATTTACATTAATAGGGATCTAGTTTGTTTATACACATGGACATTTACTTCCTGTAAAATTAATTACTCTCCTGTAAAAATGACAACCAAGCTCTGACGGAATCAGTTAATCAATATAGTCTACTTTTTGTGTACATAACTTTTGAGTGACCTTGGCAGGTACCTTTCTGTGCTTTAGGTTTCTTAATTATGAGGGGATTGAGCTTTTAAAGATCAACAGTATTAATTGCTCAGATGAAATCATACTTGGAATACCAATCTGTGAAGCAGATAAAAGGGTTGCTGCTCTGGATAGAGCTGGATTGGGAAGCCCAGCAGCACCCTGCCTCTCATCATTCTCCATCCCTGAGCAGCAGCCCCTGAGCCATTTCTCAGGAACATTAGGGTTTGCAGAACCACGTGGAAGCCATTGAATTCTGTGATTTTTTTGTCTCTAAGACTTTGTTTTACCTGAGTTATGCAGACATCTCTTTTTTTTCCCCCTTGAGAGTAAAGTTTGGATTTTCATAGGGTGGTTTACATGCTTGTAAATACTACACCAAGTCTGACATTCCAAGTTTTAGCATTAAGATTTTTGTTTTTCTTTCCGTTGTATCTGTTTGCCCCAAACAAGTGACAGTGAAAATTACTTCATAAGAAGAGTGTCTTTAAAGCATTTTTAATGCTTCATGTTAGCTTGATGTATTTTCTGAAAGACATACCATCTTGACTTTTATAGTGTTTATCTTTTACTATGAAAGAATGAACATTGAAACATACTAATCAGAGCTTTTATTTTTAGAGATAATATCTCTTGATTTCATTTTTTGGTTGTTCAGATGCTATATTGCTTTCTATTCCACTGAAATTTGGTTTTATCTTAGGTATTTTGCTGGAGATCAGTCAACAGTTCTCTGAAGCAGTGTCGATGGGCCTATCCACGCCAAGTCTTCATTTCTGATATTGCTTTAAGTAGAAATGAAATTCTTTTTGTCACAAGAGATGGAGAGGGATTTAGAGGGAAATGGTTTGAAGAAAAAAGAAAGAGTTCTGAAAAGAAAGGTTAGTTCATATATGTGAATGGCATACCTTTAGCTAACGTTTAATTTTATAAGTATTTATCATTAGGTTTAACTGACAAGTGTTATTAGGTTTTATCCCCATATCTCTTCTTTTGATTTTGGTTGTGTGTATGCAGGTAAACAAAGGGAATTCAATCCACTTAAATCTGGAGTTTTCAACCTTTTAGTATGCCCTGAGGTCATGGTACATTCCCATCAGTAACAGGGGCACATTAGTCTCTAGCCTTGGCTCTAGGGGCAGGGATATATAAAGTTTTAAAAACAAAACACTTCCCAGATGGATTTGAACCATCTTCCAAGCTCCTTTTTTTTTCTCTCCCCAAACTGAGAATTGAGTGGCTTATGCTATGGGTTTTTTTGTTTTTGTCTTTTTACATGTTTGAATATATAAAATTAAACTTTTATAAAGTATCTTAGGACTTAGAGGAAAATTACAGGAAGAATAAGGTTTTTATGTTCATTGAGAATTTTAAAAAGTACAGGTTGTTTTATTAAACAGTTGCTGAATAATTGGAGATGTTTTATTCATTCCTTGATGAATATAAAGGAGAGCTTTAATTAAGATGCTACCATTGAAAATAGAAGTCATTCATTACATTATATAGTTCATTCTTAATTATCTGATTATAAATTTACAAACTTGTGGGTTATTTAACATTGGTTTTTAACTTAGGTTAGCAGCTTTTTTCTTTCATCCGTAATTAGTAATCTGTTGATTTTTTTTTTTTCCTTCCAGAAAAATTTGAATTCATTTACCTCTTTACATCTCATTGCTCCCACCCTAGCCCAAGTTATCACATGATCGACTGCAAAAAATGTTTTCTTATTTCCACTCTTGCTTCTTTTTATTCTCTTACCAGAGTGAGCTTTTAAGCTCTGATCTTAATATTCCTTTGTTTAAAAACTCTCATGGTTTCCTCACTTCCTGAGCATGGCCTACAAGGCTCCTGCTCTGACTCTTGTCTGCATCTCTGAACTCCTCTTGAATTCTGTCCCTCTCACTTACCACTCTTCAGATACACTGACTTTCAGGTATTCAGTCTTGTCCAGCTATGATTAGTCCCAGGGCCTTTCCTAATTTTTCACATCTCAGCTTAACTTTTACTTCATCAGAGATGTTTTCACTGATTCCTTAATCTAAACTTAGTAACCTTGTTTTACTTTTAATACTCTCTTTGTATTTTCATCATGCAACTTATTTTTACTTGTTTTTATGTATTTATCTTTGTGATTAATTTTTCTAATGCTGGTCTCCTATCAGATTATTAGATGGCAAGGACCATGATATAAGGTCTGTATATCCTTATAGAAGAATCAAAGGTTCCTCTGTATTACTTAGCATTCAGCATATTTCCTGACACATAATAGTCCCTCATTAACTCATCTGTTGAATAAATAAACCAATTATTATATGATAAAAGATATATAAAAAACATTTATAATTACTCAGGAAGTTATAAACATATTCTTCAAAATTATAAAGCCACAAAGGAATGATTTTTGGATAGTTTATTGAGTTCTCATTTCTTTATAGATTACACAAGTCTGTAAACACTTAAGGTATATTTACTATGTGCCAGATATAGGGCTAGGTTTTAATGATACAAAAATATATGACAGGCCCCTGTTCTCAGACACTTACGAGTTTGTAGGGGCAATAGACATGTATATAAATATTTGCAGTTCATGGAGAGAAATACTAACGTGCACATAATAAGTTTTTTGAGAGCACAGAAATTAGAATAACTGAGTGTCAGGGGAAGATTAGGAAAGCCCTGTGAGGCTGAAATAGAGTGAATTTTTGAGAAAGTAACTAGAATGCATGTTCGACTTGTAAGTGTTGGAAGTCCTCAGAATTGTGTCTTAGTTATATTTAGTGGTCTAAAACTGAATTCTGATCTCATGCTCATGCATCTCCTTTTCAGTGTTTCTAAGTAAATGGGTATCTTTCACACCCCATATTCACTCACCCTCTACATCCCATTGGTCACCAAGTTTTGTCACTTCCATTTTAAATATTTTTGAAATCTTCACTTTCTCTAGTTTCATTGCTACAACCTCAGTCTGTAGTGTTCATTCTTTTTCTGGACTCTTAGTTTCCTAAATGATCTCTTTGTCTTTATTTTTGTTTACTTTAAACATTTTTCATACTACAGTCAGAATCATTTCTTTGCATGCACATTTCATATATTTTTTAAATAGCCTTGATCTGACTTTTAATGAAAAAATCATTTGTTTAATGTCTGCCTTCTCTGCTACATTGTGTACTTCAAGATGGTAGGGACATGCCTATTTTATAGGTTCACTACTGTATTACTAGGGATACACTGAAAAGCACTTTATCACAGCACAGTGTGGTCACTCAGATATTTGCTGAATAAATGGAAGGAAGGGGGAGAAGAAGGGAGGGAGCAAATAAAAATTTTAATGGAAGCTGAGGAATTTTAAAAGGTAGTATAACATTGTATTTGCCTTTTAGATAGCTTTGGTTGCAATGTGGAGGATAATATCATAAATAATTGAGAATTGACCCACCAAAATTTCCTTTATAAGCCAACCAGTATATAGGGTGTAAATTATGTTGAAGAGAGAGAAGACGTAGTTCTTCAGAAGGACTTAATACAGACAAAAGATATTTCCATATTCTCCTAATTGTTTTTCTATTCTATTTACTCCTAAATCATTTTAACAGTTTCAACAGAGCCTTGATTAATGGAAGTTTTTTTTTCTTTTTAGCAGAGATTTTATCAAACCTTCATAATTCCTCACCAGATGTGTCTTGTGTCTCTGATATAAATAGTGCATATGAAAGAATTCGACTTGAGAAACTTACTTTTGCCCATAGAGCTGTTAGTGTCAGCACAGATCCAAGTGGATGCAACTTTGCAATCTTGCAGTCAGATCCTAAAACAAGGTAGGTACTCTTGTATGTATTAAATTTCATTTTTAGAAGGAACAATCACTGGGTTTTCTGTTTTCAATAGCTCTTGGAACAAATTTAATCGAAGAGCTGTTGTCAAGTCTTGTAGAGACTTCAGACATATTGATACCGTCATGTTACCAGGTTAGCTCAGGGGTGGAATTTGTTACGTTGGAAATGTTGAATGTTCCTTTTAGTCTGTAGACTGATATTTATTGAAAATATTGTAAATAATATGTACATATACACACAAAATTTATTCATATCTTTAGTACTTTGTGATGTACTCTAGGTTCTCAGATTCTGAGAAATAGATTATAAATATTTGTTATGTAGTTTATAAACATTTCTGACCCTTGAATACACTGAGAAATGACAAAGGAAGAGGTAGTATAGAGTCATCTGGAGGGCATTGTGAATCTCAGTGCAAATCTTCTGTCACATTAGTACAGAGGTGACAGGTTAAGATAAATATCAAGGGTCTTATTGAAGAGGGAAAAAGTCCTAGAGACAGGGTTATCATTCCTCTTGCTTTGCCCAGGTCAGTCCCATATTTAGCACTGAAAGTCTGTTCTCCTGGGAAACCCCCTCAGTCCCAGGCTGACCAGGGGGGTTGGTCACCCTACCTAGAAGGGCAAATGTAGATTGGGATGGTATGATTGCATGCTTACAGTACTGAAAGAACCAGGGTTGTGGACTGATGTATGTCTGTGTGTGTATTTATCTTTACTTCCTTAAGTTTCTAACCTATTCTGGGATCTGAAGTATTTACTCATTTTTCTGTATATGTTTTTCTCCACTTGTGAAATAAAAGGATATAAAAGAGGAAAAAGTTGAAAACTACTCTTTTTGAATGTTTTTAGTGATACTTTTAATCATTTAAAAAATTTCTGTGAAACAGTCGTTCAAATTTATATTCTAGTGTTTCCTCGTAGAAAGAAAACAATGCTTTCAAAGGAACACTTAATTCTTGTCATTTTAGTTTAGGGGAAGAAATACGTAAAGGAATAGAAAATATTTAAAGCGTGATACAGTATCAAAGACTGTGAGCAATATTCTTATGTTTTTGGAAATGCTAAATTGAAATTTTTCTAAGTTTAATAAATAAAAATATATACTTTAAAAGGAGAGTTGGCTAGGGATGCTTTCTTTTTTTCATTTTCTGGAAAGTAAAAATAATTTTTGTTTCATTTCTAGCCTTTATGAAATTCCAGCTGTGTCCTCATCATCCTTTTTTGAAGAGTTTGGCAAACTGTTGAGGGAAACGGATGAAATGGACAACATCCATGATGTGACATTTCAAGTTGGCAATAGAATCTTCCCTGCACATAAATATATTTTGGCAGTGCATTCTGACTTTTTCCAGAAATTGTTTCTTTCAGATGGTACTACTTTAGACTTTATAGATGTTTACCGGAAAGATGAAGATTCTGCAGGGTGCCATCTCTTTGTGGTAGAGAAGGTTCATCCTGACTTGTTTGAATACCTTTTACAATTTATATACACAGATACTTGTGACTTTTTAACTCATGGCTTCAAACCAAGAATAAATTTAAACAAAAAACCAGAAGAATATCAGAGCACTCCGAATTGTCATTTGAATAAAGTGAATTCCCATGAAGATAATCAGAAGTCAGCGTTTGAAGTTTACAAAAGTAATCAAGCTCATACAATTAGTGAAAAGCAGAAAAGCAAAAACAAATCTTTCAAAAAAGTAAAAAGTGTTGGGGAAGATGATCCTGTAAAAATGTTGCAAAATGTTGCAAAGAAATTTGGTTTCAGTAATTTGAGTAGTAGGTATGACTCCTCCTTAATATCTGTTCATGTACCTCATATGTCCTCCTTTTAGAAATTCTTTGTTGTTTTGGGGTTTTTTGGGGTTTTTTTTGCTTTGATTTACTGCTGCTACTGCTCTTGCTTCTGTTCTTGGACCTGCTTCTCCTCCCCTCCCTTCCCCCCATTCCCTCCTCATCTTCCTTCTCTTATTTTCTCTTTCCCTCAGTCTCCATCTCCATCTCTTTTTCTCTCCACCTCCCCTTTATTTTTTGGATTTGTATCTTTCTTTTCATGGACCTCTTTCTCCATTTTCTGTGAAAGCTATCTCTGGGATTCCCTGGATTAAAACATTAAAGGATAGGAAGGCTGTTAGTCGGTTTGAACTCTCAGTGGTGTTTGTATAACAGGGATCTGGAGTGGCAGACAGTGTGGTATTCTGGAAAGAGTACTGTCTTTGGAGTTGGAAAGAACTATACATGCCTCTTAGCTCTACTATGACTAGCTAGGGCAAATTTCTTATTTCCTTAAACCTCAGTTTCTCAGTATATAAAAGGGAACAGGTAATATTGATCTAATATTGTTGGTGTAGTTTGGTCATAGAGCATGTATAAAGTGTCTAGTACAGTATTTGTCGTCTTATATTATATACCAGATTTTTTGGAATTCTCTGTTTAAAGGTATTTATATTGCCTGTGGCAGTATAACCTTAGTTGTGGGGCAGGAGCAAGGGAGGGTAGTATATCATGTTTTCTAATTGCAAACAGTGAAGGGCTTTATGCATAATGATGTTTAATATATTTTTAATATTAAGTATGATATTTCTTTATCACAGAATGGGGGTTAGTTGAGATACTCTTCCAGGTAATACAGATTATACAATTATGTTCAGATGTGGGCCAATTTGTTGGATTTTTGTTGTTGTTCGTTTTGGTAGGGGAATATATTCACCAGTTGTTAATTTTTATCCTTGATAGGTTAGATGGAGTCCGATTTGAGAATGAAGAAATTAATGTCATTGCCAAGAAAACTGGTAATAAACCAAAGCTAAGTCAGAGAAAATGGTAAGTTAGGAAATGAAGATAAACTTTTCATCCCTAGATTTTGAGACCTAAGTGTGGAAATAGAGCTCTTTTTACTCATATGTGAAGCAAAATGTTTATGTGAATACCCTCTTACCTTTATTAGTCTTCTTTATTTCTGGAAATGTTGGAGAGCTGTTGAGGCAAATGGATGAAAGTATTAACTGCTCAATAAGACATTGATGCAGTTCATTTTTTTTCTGATTACTTTCTAATGAAGAAAGGAATTAAAAATTTTTTTTGGCCTGAATTTTGTATTTTTTTATAAGTAGGTAATGATGTTAACCCAAAAACCAATATAATTATGCCTCGTCAGCATTATGAAGATTATTTCCTTTAGTATAATCTTTTTCTGTAATAGATATGCTATTCTAAATATGTTTATTATTAAAAGTCTTTGTTTTTAGGTATGTGTACTTGGTAGGTGAAAAGTCTTGGGGAAAAAAACTGGCGGTATCTAGACTGTGCTTAGCACAGAATAGGTTGTACAAATAAGTGAATTAAAGACCTTTGACTATGATGTTACTTACTACACCAGGCCTGTATTGAAAAAGGAAAATAAAAAGCAAGACTTCTTTGAATAGTTATCTGTATTCAGTTCCCTTTACAAATATTATCTTTATTGTAAGGCCTTATTATCTTCCCTAAAGTGGAAGGAGATGAAGTACTTTATATGTATACCCTCAAGTTGTATATTCTCTGCCACCTTTAGTTAGGAGAAAATCAAATGTTAAATCCTATAATGGATTTTCTTATTTCTTATTTGCTGAATATGTAAAGAAATTGCTCTTCAATTAAACTTTTTTTTTTTTTCCAGTTCTTATTTATGTGATGTGACCATGAAATCAGTGGATGGAAAGGAATTTCCTTGTCATAAATGCGTTCTTTGTGCTAGACTTGGTAGGTACACTTTTGTTAGTTGCTGATTTATTTGTTTTGGTATTGTTTCACTATTCTTACTCAATTTTTTTTCTTTCAGAATATTTTCATAGTATGCTGAGTAGCTCATGGATTGAGGTAAGATTTAAATAGAACACATAGACTAGTAGTTATACTTTATACTTTTGGGAAATTATATGCTAAAGAAATTAAAAAATACTTTAACTCAGTTTTTGCTTTGTATTTGACTTTATTTATGCATAAATCTGCTGGAAAATAGCAACATTCCAAAATGAAAATTGTTCCAAAAAAGTTACTTAAATAAATTCTCCATTATTATTTGGACTTGTATTTGGAATACCAGTTTGTTTCTTTTTTTCTCAATTTTTCTTGATTCTTTTTCATGTTACAAGGCATTTTAAAATTAAATGTATCTCATTTTAGCTTTGCGTTTTGTAAATGTTATGTTGTTTTGCATTTGATGTGATTCCTGTTAAAAAGTTTTTCATACCAGTAACCTCAGATTGTAGTAGTATTTTGTAGTTTAATTATTTTATTTTATTTTATTTAGGCTTCCAGTTGTGCAGCTCTGGAAATGCCAATACATTCTGACATACTGAAAGTTATTTTGGACTACCTCTATACTGATGAAGCTGTGGTGATAAAAGGTATTAATAAAAGTTAAGACATTTCAGATATTTAAGATATAGTTAAAAATGATAAAATCACGTGAATCTTAATTTTTACTCTAATTGAAATAAGCCATCAACAGAGGCTTAAATTTAAAATAAGCAAATAGGGATGATTACTAATAGTAAAGGAATGGAAAAGAAAATTTTCATTACTATGTGAATATATAAGACTTATTAATATTGGTTGAGATTAGATTTAACATTTCCATACCTAGCTACTTATATGATTAAGATGAGGACTTGACAGCAGGGAGTATAGTTTTGACAGTCTACAAAAGTTCTTTCTTGCCTGTTTTTCCCCTGTGCGAACACACCTTAAGTAAAATAAATAGACTAATAATTGAACCGAAATTTATAAAGACAGTTCATTTATATACTTTGTCAGGCAACATACCCATGTTTTATTTACCAGGTGTCTTTAGTCATAGAGTGGTATGCTTTTGTGTTCTGTGTATGTCGATACCACATTTTCTTTATCCATTTGTCAATGGACATTTAGGCTGTTTCTATATTTTAACTATTGTGAATAATGCTGCAGTGAACTTGGAAATGCAGGTATATCTTCAAGATCCTGATTTCAGTTCCTTTGGCTAAATACTCAGAAGTGGGATTGCTGTATCATATGGTAGTCCTATTTTTAATTTTTTGAGGAACCTCCATACTGTTCTCCATAGTGGCTACACCAATTTACACTCCCACCAACACTGCACAAGGGTTCCCTTTTCTCCCCATCTTCATCAACACCTGTTATCTTGGTTGTTTTTGAGAATAGCCTTCCTAACGGGTATAAGGTGACATCTCACTGTGGTTTTGATTTCCATTTCCCTGATAAATAATGACATTGAGCACCTTCTCATTTACCTGTTGGCCATTTGTATGTCTTATTTGGACAAATGTCTATTAAGGTCTTTTGCCCATTAAAAAAATTTTTTTTATGTTTCTTTTTAAAAAATTTTTGTATTGTATTGGACTGTAGTTTCAGATGTACAGCAAAGTGAATCAGTTATACATATACATGTATCTATTCTTTTTCAAATTCTTTTCCCATTTAGGTTATTACAGAATATTGAGCAGAGTTCCCTGTGCTATATGTAGGTCCTTGTTTGTTATCTATTTTAAGTATAGTAGTGTGTATATGTTAATCCTAAACTCCCAATTTATCCCTCCACACACCTTTCCCCTTTGATAATCATAAGTTTGTTTTCTAAGTCTGTAATATTTTCTTTTTTGCTCTTGTATTTTTAGGAGTTCCTTATATATTCTGGATATTAATCTCTTATCAGTTACGGTTTGCAAATATTTTCTCCCATTCCAGAGTTGCCTTTTTATTTTGTTGACTGCTTTGCTGTGCTTTTGGTTTCATGTAATACCACTTGTTTATTTTTGCTTTTGTTTCATGTGGTTTGGTGTCACATCTAAAAAATCATTGCTAAGACCAATGTTTGGGAGCTTTTCCCCTTTTTTCTTCTAGGAGTTTTATAGTTTCAGGTCTTAGATTCAAGTCTTGAATCCACTTTGAGTTGATTTTTGTGTTATGGTGTAAGATGTGGGTCCAATTTCATTGTTTTGCATGTGGATATTAAGTTTTTCTAATACCCTTTATTGAAGTGACTGTCCTTTCCCCATTTTGTATTCTTGACACCCTTGTCAAAGATTAATTGGCTGTATATATGAGGGTTTATTTCTGGGCTCTGTATTCTGTCTCATTGGTCTACATGTCTGTTTTTATGGCAGTACGTTACAGTGTTGATTACTGTAGCTTTGTAATAGGATTTGGAAATCAGGAAATGTGATGCCTCCAGCTTTGTTGTACTTTTTCAATAGTGCTTTGGCTATTTACGGTCTTTTATGGTTCCGTATGAATTTTAGGATTACTTTTTCTACTTCTGTGAAAGATGCCATTGGAATTTTTATAGGATTTCATTGAATATGTAGATTGCTTTGGGTAGAATGGGCATTTTAACAATATCAGTTCTTCCAGTCCATGAACATGGGATATCTTTCCATTTATTTGTACCTTCTTTAATTTCTTGTCTCAGTGTTTCATAGCTTTTGGTGTGCAGATCTTTCACCTCCTTGGTTCAGTTTATTCCTGAGTCTTCTATTCTTTGTGATGTGATTGTGCCTGGGATTGTTTCCTTAATTTCTCTTTCTGTTAGCTCACTGTTAGCATATAGAAATGCAACAGGTTTTTGTGTATTGATTTTGTACCCTACAACTTTATTCTTTCTTTATTTTTAAGAGTATTTTGGTGGCGTCTTCAGGGTTTTCTATGTATACTGTCATGTCATCTGCAAACAATGACAGTTTACTTCTGCTTATTCAATTTGGATTCCTTCTATTTCTTGTCTCATTGCTGTGGCTAGGACTTCCAATACTGTGTTGAATAAACATGGGGAGGGTGTGCATCCTTGTCTTGTTCCTGATCTTAGGTGAAAGCTTTCAGGTTTTTACTGTTGAATATGATGTTAGCTTTAGGCTTGTCATATATGGCCTTTATTGTGTTGAGGTACATTCCTTATATACCTAATTTCTTAAGAGTTTTTATTATGAATGTATGTTGAATTTTGTCATATTCATTTTTTGCAGCTATTGAGATGATCGTATGATTTTTAGCCTATGTTCTGTTAATGTGTATTGTGTTTATTGATTTGCACATGTTGAACTATCCTTGCATCACAGGTGTAAATCCCAGACAGTCATGGTGTATGATCCTTTTAATATGTCGTTTAATTTGGTTTACTGGTATTTTATTGAGGATATTTATATGTATGTTAATCAGGGATATTCTGTAATTTTCTTTTATTGTAGTGAACTTGTCTGCCTTTGGTATCAGGATAATGCTGGCCTCATAAAATGAGTTTGGAAGTTTTCCCTCCTATTCAATTTTTGGGATGAGTTTAAGAAGGATTGAGGTTAATGTTTCTTTAAATATTTGGTAGAATTCACCTGTGAAGCTTTCTAGTTTTGGGCTTTACTTATTTTGGAGACTTCTAATTATTGATTCAGTCTCCTTACTGTGTTATTGGTCTGTTCACATTTTCTATCTCTTCATGATTCAGTTTTGGTATGTTTCTAGGAACTGAACCATTTCTTCTAGATTATCCAATTCATTAGCATATAGTTCATAGTAGTCTTTATGATCGTTTGTATTTCTGCGATATCACTGGTAATGTTTCCTCTTTCATTTACAATTATTTATTTGAGTCTTCTTTTTTCTTAGTCTACTTAAGGGTGTGTTAATTTTGTTTATCTTTTCAAATAACCAACTCTTAGTTTAATTGGTCCTTTCTATTGTTTTACTAGTGTCTGGTTCATTGATTCCTGCTCTATCTATATTATTTCCTTTCTTCTCCTAACTTTGGGCTCTGTTTTTCTTTTTATAGTTCTTTGTTGTGTAAAAACCTAAAGGTTGTTCTTTTGCAATCTTTCTTTTTAAGGCATTTATCAGTATAAACGTGTTTCTTAGAACTTATTTTGTTTAATCCTATAAGTTTTGATACGTTGTGTTTCCCATTTTCCTTTGTCTCAAGATATTTTTTTGCTTTCTCTTTGATTTCTTCTTTGACATATTGGTTGTTCAGGACTGTATTGTTTAATTTCTACATATTTGTGAATTTTCCAGTTTTCCTCCTGTTTTTCTGATTTTATACCATTATGGTTGGTAGAGAAGATACTTGGTGTGGTTTCCGTCTTCTTAAATTGTTAAGACTTGTTTTGTGGCCTCACATATCGTCTGTTTTGTAGAATGTTTTGTGTACACTTGAGAAGAATGTGTATTTTGCTGTTGTTGGATGGAATGTTCTCTATATGTCTGTTAGGGCCATTTGGCGTGTATTGTTGGAGAGGTCTGCTGTTTCCTTATTGATTTTCTGTGTGGATTATCTATTCCTGTTGAATATGGAGTATTGAAGTCCTCTCTTGTTTTACTGATGTCTATTTCTGCCTTCAGCTCTTCTACTGTTTCCTTTATATATTTAGGTGCTTCAACTGTATGCCTGTAACAATTGTTATATCTTACTGATGTATTGACCCCTTTGTCATTATATACTGACCTCTTTGTTTCATGTGACTGTTTTTGACTTAAAGCCTATTTTGTGTGATACAAGTATGCCCACCCCCCCATTACCATTTGCATTGAGTATATGTTTTCATCCTGTCACTTTCAGCCTGTGTGTGTCCTTAAAGGTAAAATAATCTTCTTGTAGGCAGCATGTAGTTGTACCTTGTTTTTTAATCTATTCAACTACTTTGCTTTTGATTGGAGAATTTAATCCATTTACATTTAAAGTAATTACTGGTAGGTAAGGATGTACTTCTGGAATTTTGTCAGTTGTCTTCTGACTGTTTTGCAGGTCCTTTGTTCCCTTCTTCCTCTTGTGTGTGCTGTCTTCCTTTGTAATTTAATGATTTTTTGGTAGCGGTATGCTTTGGTTCCTTTCTCATTTTTGTGTTTCTACTGTAGGTTTTTGCTTTGTGGTTACCATGAGGCTTACATGTAATAATATTTTATAATTACAGCAGTCTGTTTTAAACTAACCACAACTTTTTTTCTTTTTCTTTTTTTTTAAGTTGATGTTTGGTTGACTTACAATGTTAGTTTCAGGTGTATAGCATAGTGGCTGAATATTTTTATTGATTATACTCCACTTAAAGTTGTTACAAAATAATGTCTGTATTTCTGTGTGCTGTACACTACATATATCCTTGTTGCTTATTTATTTTATACATAGTAGTTTCTAACTCTTAATCCCATAAACCTATCTTGCCCCCTCCCCCTCCCCTCTCCCCACTGGTAACAACTGCTTTTGTTCTCTATATCTGTGCGTCTGTTTTTGTTTTGGTATATACATCTGTGTTATTTTTTTTAGATTCCAGGATTCCACATATAATTAATAACATGAAGTATTTATCTCTCTCTGACTGATTTCATTAAGCACAATACTCTCTAGGTCCATTGATGCAAATGGCAGAATTTCATTCATTTTTTATGGCTGAGTAATATTCCGTTGTATGTGAGAGACACACACACACACACACACACACACACACACACACACACACACACACACCTTTATCCATTTGTCTATTGATGGATACTGGGGTTGCTCCCTATCTTGGTTGTTACTCACAGCTGAACTTTGATTCCATACAAATCCTCTTCACTTTTACTTTTCTCCCCCTCTGCATTATTTCTTCAGATATTCTTTATGTCTGTTCTTTTTTCCTTCTGGGACTCCCATAAGTATATCTAGGCTGGATAGTGTTCCATAGGTCTCTTATACTCAGTGTATTTTTTATTCATTCTTGTTTTTCTTTCTGTTCCTCTGATTGGATAATCTCAATTGATGTACAGTTTCTGTCCTCATTGATAGTCTTCATTTCATGAGATATTATTCTTATACTTTCTTTTAGATTTTTAGGCATTTTTTTTTTAGTTCTTTGAACATATTCAAAATAATTGATTTAAAGTCTGTAATATGTAATGGCTCAGCATCTTAGCATTCTCAGGGACAGATTCTCTTGGCTGCTTTTTTTCTGTATATAGACCATATATTTACATCCCTCTTTTCATCTTTTATAATTTTTTGTTGAGAACTGGACATATCTAAGTAATATCATGTAGCAACTCTTGAAATCAGATTTTCCTCCTTCCCCAGGGATTGTTGTGTTCGCTGTTTGTTTAGTGACTTATTGGAACTAATTCTGTAAAATTGGTATTCTTTGTCATATATGACCACTGAGGTCTCTGCTTGGTCAGCTTAGTGGTCAGCTACTAATCATACATTTCCTTAAATGCCTAAGCCAGTAAATCTCCCAGCCTATGCCTAGGGGCTCTTTGTGTGTATGGCGGCCTGGCTTCAATTCTTAGCCAGGCAGTTTACAGCTGTGCCTTAGATTCATTTCCTGCTTTTGCAGTCTCAAGGTCAGCCAGCAGTAAGAGTTTTGGGCCTTCTTAAATTTTTTCTGGGCATGTGCACAGCCCTCCACATATGTATGACCTTCTAGATTCACAGGAATATGTTAAAACTTTTCAAAACCCCTTACGGACACAGCTCACACTGCCATAACAGAATAAGAGAGACTGAAATTTATTATTCACAGTTCTGGAGGCTAACGTCTCAGGTCAAGGTCCAGCAGGGTTGGTTTCTGGTGAGGATTCTCTTCCTGGCTTGTACATGGCTGCCTTCTTGTTATGTCCTTACTTGACCTTTCCTCAGTGCTTGTGTGTGAGTGTGAGTAGAGAAAGAGAGCGTGAGAGAGTACACACACACACACACACACACACACACACACACACACACACACACACACACGAAGGGGATTAGTGGGGGGAGATGATGGGTCTGTGATGTCTCTTCTTAGAAAGACACTAACCCTGTCAGATCAGGGCCCTACCTTATGAATGCATTTAACCTTAATTAGTTCCTTAGAGGCCCTGTCTCCAGATACAACCACACTGGAAATTATACCTTCAACATGTGAATTTTCAGGGGACATAAACATTCAGTCACAACAATATCTCTTTCCCTAGCTATTCTTTTTCAGTTTTTTTAACCTGCTT